ACCGGTGGCTGCTGGAATGGCGCTTGTAGGCCCAAACTTTGCCATGTACTTTCTTCATCAATCTCAAGCTTTCCCTATTCCCTTTGTTGTCTTGAATTGCTCAGGAATGTGGGGGCACTAAGAGCAGAGGCTCACCCTCCTGCTTGCCTGGAGCCCAGGCTGCCTGCGATTATGTCCTTAAACGTTTGCACCTTTGCAGAGCACCCACCTCTCTTTTCGGGCTGCTTCCTCCCTCCTGTTCTCATGCGTCCTCCCTCTCCTTTCCATTGTCCCCTCTTCACTGTCATTTTTACCTTGATGTCTTCCTCTGTTCCTCTTGCCAGCACTTCCTTTTCTTTTCTTGAATGGTTGGGAGTTTCTGATAATCCCCCAGGCTATCGGAGCCCAACTTTCTTTCAGGCAGCATCTTTTTTAACCTAATGTCCACTATGATTTCTTCACGCACCATCCAGTGAGGCACATGTATTTGAAGGGAATGACAGAGACAGTCAGAGGTGACAATGCCGGAAAAGCAAAGTTAGGGTTAGTGTCAGAAAGGGGAGCAAGTATGTAAATAGAGAGTAAACAGATTGCCTTCACCTCATTCCACCTCTGAGAGAGGGATTCTTTAGACCGAACCAGGGGCATTGGACCAATGAGCAAACAACAATAATATCCTGTACTTGTTTTGTAGTTTGATTTTTAGTGAGAAAATTCTGATTCTCATTGTTTATAGTATTAAGTCCAAAGACATTCATTCCTCACTTAGTACAGGCTCAGTTTCTTGACTATTCCTATACAACTAATGTTTAAAAAGCTAGACTATGAATTATAGTCTTTTTTAAAAAAGTATGTTAGAATCTCAATTCTCTTGCAGAGCTTCACCCCCCTGGTTTGTTCCCTCCCTGCCCATCCTGTGCAGAGCTGCCATTGGATTCTCCTAAACACCAGTCTTGCCTGGCCTTCCACTGAGCCTTCAGTGACTCCTTCCTTTGGGCAAAGTCCATTCTCTTTCTCATGTTAATGTTCTTTAAATTGTTTGCTTTTTCATAAGGCAGCTCCTTTGAGCCTTTCTCCATCTTTGATCTCAATGGAGTGTGTGTCAGGGGCTACTTTGCTGGTCCACACACCCCTGATGCTATTCCTCTCTGCCCCTCAGCCTCCCGCTTAGAACCCATTCTGTTTGCTTCCTTGTCTTCCTCCACAAACTTGAGCATGAGGCCAGCTTTCCACCTGCAATTCTCATTGCACTCCAGTCCTGACTTTCCACCTTAGCAGAGTTGCTTTGCTTCACGTGTCCCAGTTCAGTCCTTACTCCTGAGAACTCCTACCTCAGAGGGCCCCAAGGTTGGGGTTTCCATGAATTCATCCTGCCCTAGGGGCAGAACCGGATGCTCATGCTGCAACTCAGTATAGCTCTGGCCAAAATGGCTCTTCCTTTCATCTGAGGATTCTCAGGTCTTCCTGTCTGATCTACCATTTGCTTCACCTGTAATGTACCCCACTCAAATAATCTTCATCAACTCTTAATATCCTACCCATCCCTCAAAGCCCAGATCACATTGCTCTTTTCCTAGGAAGCTTTTCTGGACTGTGCCACCTGGAAGTAACCTCCTTTTCCTGCAATTTCATAGCTTTACTGAGTTATGTAGCAGACAAATCAGACAATGCCTGGTGTGAGCTACCAAGAACATAATCGGTTTTTGCTCTGTCATCTACCCGCCTACAATGGCCATGGGGTGTGCTGTGCATGGTGGTTAACTCACCTCATGGCAGATGACAAGGTGTTTCTCAAACTCCATAGTCATTGGTAAAATTCTTGAAAGCTGGGAAACCGTAGCCCAATAGCTCATACATTTCTTAAACCTGTCCTGCTGGGTTTCTTTCCATTCCTCCACTAAACGTCTTTATGATGCCAGGTGGTCTCGTCCAGTTTTATTTTATTTCTTTTTATTTTACTGTCATTGGTTTCTAAATTGAGCTAGTAAGACTGGCCTGAAATTTTAATTTCTCTCATGTATCTATAAGATAATGGCCACCACCCAGCTGACCTTTGATCTTTAGGACAATGTTTAAATCCATATTTTTTCTCATTCTGGGTAGAATGGACTGGGGAAGTTTGCATATTTTAGCAGAAAGGCATCTGTTGAGGAGCACTTAGTAAGCTGTAACTGATGGTTAAATTTTATCCATGCATTTCAGTTTAGAGACAATTTTAAGAGCCTGTGAAGGTGGTTATAGGGTAATCCTGGAAATGGCTTATCATTCATAAATCACAACACCTTGCAGAGGGCTAGTTCTGCATAGATGTGTATCTGGGATGGGTTTTTTGGGGCAAGGCTCTGATTGAGAATTATGATGCAAAGGACTTTCTACTAAAGATGATACTAAGCTAAAAGAGAAAAAAAATAAGAATAATATGGGATTGAGTCAAATGAAAATGTTTATATATTAATAAAACATAAGCAGTTCTTATTTAATGGGTAATTAAATATCCACCTTAAAATATTTCACCTACCAGTCTGAGGCCAGCCTCTGGGGCTTTGTTGTTTCTGTACCTACTTCATTTTCTAGGAAATATGCCAGTGATTTATGGTTTATACATCAGCTAATGTATGACCTCACTGGGGAGGATGGACTAGCTCAGCCTTCAGACTCAAAGGGGTCATTGTCTGTGACTTTAATTTAGCTCCTATTCATGGTCACTGCTTTGTTGCTGCAATTTCTGCTTGTATGTGTGAGTGTTGTATTGAATCATGTATATGCCTTTGGAAGGTGGAACTCCTACCCGGGCAAGGATTGACCTTATGGCGCAGAGGGTCCTGATGCTGTTCACTGGCCTTCTTGCCCCAGGGTGATAAATTTTTTTTTTAATTGCTAATATAAACACTGGCATAGTAAAACCTTTCAGGGTATGTTATTGGCCCAGATCCTGCTGTTGGAACTGATTTTTGGTTTAGACACCTGACTCAAGGGAATGTTGTGTTGTCCCCTGTCCCCTGAGCCATGTGAATGCTGTGCTGGGCATCCTGTCACTTGAGCATTCATTGCCTTTTCACAAGGAAGAGGCCTGGATTTAGCAGGGATGCTCCCTTCCTGCAGTATTTGTTGTTTAGTTCCATCAGCAGTTCTGAATCCTCACAACGTCCTTTTTGGCCTCAGCCCCTTTGCTGTATAAGAGATTGACCACCTTCTGCAGGCCTCACACTTGGATGTCCTAGCTAAGCAGCCTCATCAGCTAATAGATGACCTCACTGGGGGAAGATAGGAAAACTCAGCCTCCAAACCTAATTATCAGCCCTGTGTTTAATTCGGACACGTGGGAGCCGATAGAAATCTCCAAGAATTCATGGCAGCAACCAGTAGATCTGTCCAACTTTATTACTTAAATTTTGATTAAGATAAAAACAAATACAAGCAAATGTTAGCTCTAATTGTGAAACAGATTTTAGGGCTCCAGAGAGAAGGTTGGTTTATTCAACGATGCTGTTTAACAAAGAAGTCCCAACTAACATATTTGTTGCCACACCCATAGGAGATATTATTGGTGTTGGAACAAAGAATTGGCTGCTCCTAGGAATTTTTCCTGGGCTGAGGATGCCTCCTTACCTTGGGGAGAGCTCTCTTATCCTCTTTTGGCCTCAAAGATTTGCATCTGTGCGTTCTCCTTTCCAAAGGATGATGTCAAGAACTTTCAAAGACTCTGTTGGGACCATATCAGAATCCAGTACGCTGCAGTGTGTCAGCGCACCTGGGCTGTGGGCGCCTTCTTGGGCAATTCTGAAAGTCTTGCTTTGGATCACCTCCTTGCTTCCCATGAATTAACCAAAGGCACCTTATGGAGACAGTAACCACTCATAGGGACAATGTTACCTAGCTACTGCTTTCTGACCTCCGAACTGGGGGACTTCAAAATTGCTCCTTATCAGACACCAGTTTTCCAAAATTCCAGATGCTGTAATTCAGTTAATTTCTGCAGGCAGATGGCTTTTAGATAATTACTGAAGAAGATGGTGTGGGAATTATTGCATAGAGGAATAACCAGAATGTTCCAGAATGTTCTGGGAAGTTCTCCTTTTCCTGTCATCATTCTCAGCTGCTGCCTAAGTGTGTTGGATAGGCAGCATCAGTGTGTTCCAGGTTTATGGCAGCCAGAAGATGCAAAATGTGGAGAGGAGAAGGAAACTGTGTGAAGAAGGACAATAGAGAAAGTGTGAGCCCTGAAGGGCTGTATTTGAAGTCACAGGCATCCTTAAGTAATAATGGACATATTTCCCTTATGAATAAAAAGTGGGAAGAGACCCATTTCCTGGAAAAAATGGCTCTAGGGAGGCTGATATTTTATGGTAGACTTTCTATCACACAACAACCTCAAGTTTTCAGGACTTTTGCATGTTAAATTGGATGAGGAGATTGGATGTCTTGCTTTGGTTTTAGTAAAGTGAATCATTTTTTATGGTTTATAATTATTTTCCTATAAAGTTTCACATTGTGCATCTACTAAATCAACATGTAAATAAAAATACAAACTCAAATTTCTGTTATTAGTTTATTCTAAAACTTCTGCCTTTAATCTTCTGTTTTAAGAATGCATTACTTAGGGTACTGTATTCCAAAAAAGGGCATGAAATAGCCATCATAAAATGACTAAGTTCACACAACCAATCTAACTTTTATGTTCAAACTGCTTAAAGTAATTAAATGGGTTTGAAATGAAGGCCCTTTCCATTGTTTTCTGTTGTTCCCTAAGATTTGTTTTTGTTTGTTAACAGCATTTAAATTTTTATTATTCCTTTTCTGAAGAAAGAAATTCATTGGTTCACAGATGTTAACTAAGCCAGGACTATCCTATTCGTCATTTTTAAGCTATCTGGTGTCACTCTATTTTAAGTCTTACATTGCTAAAGCAGTTTAATCTGGTTGTGTGTAGCACAAATGGAACTTTCTAGAATTGATGAGCAATGACCCCAACATTTTAAAACTGGGCAGATAGGATCATTTTTTTCTTTTCTTTCTTGCAGTGTTGGTATGAGAGTTCGACTTGAGTGAGCAGATGGCTGTGGATTTTTAGTGTGATACATGATTGAAGAAACACTCCACGCTTTTCCTCCTTGGTAAGTCAGACATCGAAGTGGGAAGTGAAGAACCCAACAATGTTATACATTCTGTGATACTGTGATAGCTGATGAGCTTCACTTATCTCTGCTGTTAAAATGGCAGTGAATAGGCAAGCTTTCAGAAAGACAACTATTCTTTGTGGCAAAACTGTTGTGGGCTAATGCCTTACTCAGGAAACCCAGAGTCTTGACAGGGCACCATTGACACAGCGTCTTCTGGTCCACAGTGTGCTTGTCCTCCTGGTTTCAGTTTTATTTTGCACCCATATGCATACTGCTTAGGGCAAACATGCAATTATTTTGGGCTATCTGACAATTATGTTGCACAAAGGTGTTCTGGTATCAAATCTCCCTCTTTTATTACAAGCAAAAGCAGATGTTTACAAAAGTCAAGGTTGAACAGTGTTGACATATTTAAATCATGGGATAACATGGGGCACCCTTTGCTACATACATCAAATAAGGTGATTTTTTGGGGTGAGGTGATTTAATTTTTTCTTACAAAGTGTACTCTGACACCTTAAGGCCCATTGGACTCTACAGTTTTGTTTTTTTTTAATCTAGAATGATGGACAAAGAAAAACCAATTAATTTGTGTTTCTTTAAGGAGTTTAAGCAGATAACTACTCTGTTCATTCATTCTTTCATAGAAATAAATAATTGTAGCAAGTCCATGAGTCTAATGGGCAGAACTTTTGGAGATAATGCCTTTTTCAAGAGCCACTGGTCCTAATGTACAATACTTGTTCTATGAGTGATGGAAATGGATTCTTCACTTCAATGGCAGTAATATAAAAAAATAAAATTATGATTATAAAAGTAATGAAAAGCTATATATGGTACCTTATTAACTGGAAAAAAGAAACCTCAGAATTATATATTTATATTAATATTAATAATACATATTAATATATTATATATTATATATAACATAATCCTATTCATCTTAAAAATACACATACACAAACATAGAAACATGTACTCTCTACCCATAAGTCATGTGTATTATAAAATCTACCAGAATATATATTAACATGTTCCAAATTGTAAACAAATTAACTCTGCAATTGAAGATGTTGGCACATTATAAGCCTTATCTTCACTATCCAAAGTTTTAAATTTTAAAGTTTGGAATCTGAAAGAATGAAGGAAATGGATTAAAATGGTGAATAGTGAATGCTCATTATAGAAAATACAAAGTGGAGCATAAGTAGGTTTATAGTTGTGAGTATGTGAAACAGAGTTTATTCTTGTATTATTAGTTATTAATTATTATATTATTTACCATATGAACAACTGTAAACCTATTTTTGCCTCACCCTCCATATAAAAGAAGGGCAAAATTCACCCTTAATCCCTCCACCAAAGACAGCTGCTGTTGGCATTTAATGTAGTTTTTTATAGTATATTAAAAAAAGATTAGTAACTTACAGAGTTGAATTAATACTACTAGACATGAACTTTTACTTATTGCTTTTAATTTGTTATAACATATACTTGTATATTATACATATATTATAATAACATATCATAGTATTAAAAATTATTAATGACCCTCATTTATGTGTCATACTATCCTATCATATAAAGGCACTATATGTAATTTCCTGCTTTTTTGCTGGACATATATATTATTTCTAATTAACAAAAATAATAGACAATGTTGAAATGATCACAACAAGCGCATATGTCTTACACTTGATTCCAATCCTGCTTTCTAGCTTTTTGTAGGTCACACTATCTCCTGCCTTGTGAAAAGCAGAAATTTGGTGAATGAAGTAGACATTTTATCCACAACAGCAGCTGTTACTGTAAAGTTTTCTTTTAGTTGAAGGTTAGTTCATTGCACTAGAATAGCTGTGGTTGACTTACATTTCAAAACCAAAGAGTTTTAGTAAGACTGCTAATTAGCTTTGGAAAGTGTTGCAGATATTTATATTTCAACAATACTATGCAAGAGCATTCACTTTACTAAACCTTCACTGAGTATCATCATTAATTATTTTGTCAGTTTGTTAGTATTCCTTTCCTTTTATATGTGTCATTGTTTACTCATTATGCTATTTGGTTGATTTCTTATGTGATTATTAGCCATTACTTGGAGAAAGTGTGTGTGTATGTGAAAGAGAGACAAAGAGAGAGAGAGAGAGAGAGAGAGAACACATGTATGTGAGGGGATTGTTTGTTTTTATTTTATACTTGCTGAGCTGTTGAGATTCAGAATTTTTATTATAGATTTTAGGACTTTATTTTTAAGAATATTAATTCTTTGTTGTATTTTTTCCTCCATTTCATTTACTTATCAATTTTATCCTTTTAATTTTAAAGAAATTTAGTGTAGTGTTGCCCAGTTTTTTAAATAATTATTTCAACTACTGCTTAGAAAAATAATAATTTTTCTTTACTTTCTACTTATTAAATATACTCACTAAATATGCTCAATTCCTTAATTCAGAAAAAGTTCCATTATATGAAAATACATATTGACTTTTGTGCTTTTTCTCACAGCTCTATTCTGCCTCTGTTCTTTCTCACTGACAAAAATCAACCCTCAATTTTAATTTCATGAATATATTCAGACAATTAAAATATTTGTATAAATGGAAGATCTCAGTTGCACATTGCTTCATTCTACAGAGGCTAGATTCACAGTGGACAATTGAATTTTTTTATTCTTTTATTTATTTCTCTTTCAGTTAGGAAAAGAGAAAGGTTAATTTCTGCATTTTGAGATATACTACGCCCTTTACCTCTGTTTTTAACAACCACCTTTTAGTATATTTTATTTAAAAGTACTTAACCCATTATGTTGAATATTAATAAATCATTATCACAGTTCTTTTCCTCTCATTTTACCCTCTTACCTAATGTTTGGTGTTTACATGTAATGTTACGTGGTGTGTCTGGGTGACCAAGGCAACGCTGGTTAAATCACGTGATGTGTAGGCTTATGTCCTTGCTTGTTGAGGTTAGCGCACTCACCTAAAATAGTAGTTGTGATGTTCCTGCAATAATGGTTTCACAGGGCATTAGTTCCAAAAGATAGCTTGCTTGCTCTTTCTCAGTTGGAGGTTCACCTGGGTTTGGGCAATTTGGGCCACAGCGTGGTTATCCGTCTATACTTTTCTTGGTTTTCTAGATTTCTTGGCTGTAACATAAGGAAAGTGAGAGGACATCATTTGAGACAAGGATTAGGCAACGAGAAATCAGACTGAGTTTCTGGAGACAGACTACATGTGGAAAAAACTGTGCTTATTGACTTGGTATTTTAGTAGCGGACACTGTGCTGATAGGAATTTCATTCTGTGATAGTTGCTGTTCATTTTTATGCATATTATTGATATGAATACATCACTGGCTTAAACATGCTGCATGGCTGTATTGTGGGATAAAGATGTAGCCTGTCATTCTTAATAATGTCAGAAATACTAAAACGGTGGACTCCACTCCTTATTCCTGCCCTGTTGTCTAGTCAGCTGATGGAAGATCTCCGTAAGACGGTCTGGAAAGGCCCGTGCAGACCTGATCTGTTGAGTCACATGCATTTCACTTCACAGGAGTCAAACTCACTGCCAGGAGGGTTGTCTGCTCCCATTATCCACATTAGGATGCACTGGAATTTCCATACTGGAAAGTTTCCCGAAACCTTGTTCTCTTTCCTTCTGTTTTCTTCTGTATGGGATTTTGACCTTTTTATTTTTTTCCACTTGTTTTAGTGAATGTCTGCAAAAGTATGTTATTGTCCTGAAGGTTGCTGGCCTTATGAATACTATAAATATTTGTAACTCACAGATGTGTGGGCAAGTTCAGATTCCATTTTCTTTCCTTCATTTTGTGTTTAACTCAGGCTGGGCATGGCACATGGGTCTGTTCATTCTCAGGCCCCCGTTGGAGGGGTATGTGCGTGTGCAGTTAATTATTTGGATTTGAAGGTTTACATGCGCTTACAAGGAAACTGCCCTTGTTTCCTTGTTCATGAGATCTTTCTTGGCAGAACTTTCTGAAGGGTATGAAAATGGCCTTGCGCTTGGATTTGGGGTTTCGGGGACCTGGGGGTTTTCCTGCATTGTGATCTGAGGAGAAGGGCATTGGAGAGGCTTGTCCAGCCACAGGGCTGCCACCCTAGTCAGTTCCTGTTTTATCTGCTGGGGCTTTTCATGTGATTTTCATGTGTGTTTGTGTCTTTTTTAGCCTGACAGGGCACCAAGGGATCAGAGTCATTTTTGTTTCATTTGCTTTTGCTTAAAAGTTTGGGCAGTAACCACTATTGGTTAAACAAAAGTAGAAAAAGCAAAGGTTGGAAAGATGGTCAGGAGATTCTGGGAAGTAAATACCACCATAATTTCATAGAACCAACTCTAAGAATAGCAAACAGATCTTACACTTCTGGTGTGGCGGATTTATGGGGGTGCACCTAAGTTAATTTACCATAGTCAGACTTTTGGGGGGATGTGGTGGTAACTGCCCTGCTTATAGCCCAGAGCTCATACTCCTTTTGAGAACTATCACTCTCCCTTCTGTAGCAAACCACCTCCTTGCTACTGTGATGTCTTGAAGACAAGGCACTTGCCTAAGCTGGCCAGTCACACATCCTGTCTGGTGGCTACTCTGGCTAATTCTAATTGAGGCTGCAACTCCAGCTTAGGCACTGATATCCCATTCTTAAACAATTCCTACCTCTTTTTCCTGCATCACCATTTTTTATTTTCCCTTCTCTGCTGAATCTTAGGAATGCAAACGTCTACCATCCTAATAAAATGACCTATTGACGCTAATTTATCCTCCATCTACAACTCACTTCTCTCCTCTTTACAGAATGACTCCTTAAAAAGGCTTGCTTATATTTGTTATCCTTAACGCCTGTGTTTCCATTTTCTCTTGAACCCATTTTGACTACCCAGTCTTTCTGTAAGTACTGACTTGAGAAGGTCACCAGTCAGCATTATGTTGCTAAATCCAGTTGTTGAAACTCAGTCCCCATTGCACTTGGGAGTCAT